TTTACTTGTAATTGTTTTTTTTCATTTATATTTATATTTCTAATTTCCATATTTGTTTCAGAATTTTACTCTTCAGTGTAGCAATGATGTCACTCTATTCAGTACATCTACTACTGAAGACAGCCAAAGAAGGAGGTATGATTTACTTAATGTGGGGAGGGGGGCAATATTTTAAGTAAGCATATTCTAACTCATAGACTGCAAGGCAGACGTATCAAGCACCCCACCCTGACATTCAGTAACCATAACTATTTTTACTACACATTATCATCAGTGCTATCATTCCACCCAGAAGACCCTCAAAATGACCATGTAGTGTTGCTAGCTTCAGAGACTGGCAATGAGCATTTACTAGAAACTTCTTAAATGTATCATGGCAATGATTCCCAACATTTTCTTCACCACAGACCCCCTTTAAATATCTTTTGTGGCCAGAGACCCCCAAGACTTAACTAAAGATTTAAATCATAACATTTCTTCAAGCCTTCGCGAACCTCCTGTGATGACATCATAGTCCCCACAGGGTCCGCAGACCCACTTGAGAACCACTGTATCTTGGGAAGCAGATGCAGCCAAAAAATGTTCAGGTTTTATATCCTTTCATTTCAAAATGGGACAGGGGACTGCATCTTTAGGATACTTTACCCAAATTCTTCCTAAATCCTAAATCAGAGCCAGCATTGAATGGTAGTGCAGTCGCATTTTAGTCAAGTTTTACTCTTTCCTAATTGCAGTGGGAAAATGTTAAGTATGTACCTATTTTAAATTAACCAGTGTGCTGTCATAAAGAGTCAATTCAAAACCAATGGATCAAATATTTTGTACTAAAATGTTCCATTTCCTTTTGGTCCTAGGCTCGCTAATATATGAAAAATTAGGTGAAAAGGCATTTGGATGGCCTGGAAAAATTGGTGCTTTTATTTCTCTCACAATGCAGAATATTGGAGGTAAGTTGAAAATGACAGTACAGAAAGTTTAAAATAAAAATGATTTGTCTAATGATAAAAATTGGAAACAGTTGTCTATTGCTGATATCATCATAACCTTGAATTAGATTTAATAAAAATAAATTTCTTAATTGTATTGCTAAACATGGTATACAAGTAATATATATAATTTGAATAGCAGCAGAAAACTAATTTTAGAGTTGATATGGAACAATTGAAAAATGACATTTAGAAATGTAAAAATGGTGCATAATTTACGTTGTCCAAGTAGCATTTTTCTAACTGAAAATACAGTATTCTGAAAATACTGTTTGGACTATTTATTATATTTGTATGTTGTCTGCATTTGCTATAAGACATTCTGGATTTCCAGCAAATTATAGTATGTAATATGAATTGTGTAATTACAGAAAAGTATTGATGTATGGCAACAATTGCTAACATTTGCATGTGATTTTAAATGTCTTTGGATATCAGTTTTTTAAAATATGACTATTTTGATCCTACTTCTTTAGGATCTCTGTCCTGTAGGTACTTCTCAGTGGTGGCAACAGCATCACACAAATGTCACAATATGCAGTATACTTGTGTCCCAATGTTTCTATAAGTATGTAAATATCCAACAACATTATTACATGTCTTATCATTGTTTGTCCTCCCATGAATAGGATTTCTATTTGACTGAAATTTTAATCAACTGAATCTTTTGTATGTCCCTTTTCAAGCATCCTATTCAACTAAGATAACATGTTTGTCATTCACAGCAATGTCAAGCTACCTCTTTATTATTAAGTATGAATTGCCAGAAGTAATTCGAGCATTTTTAGGACTCGAAGAGAATTCTGGGTATGTTTTTGCTTATGCTTACTTTTATATATTTATTAAAAACCAAATGTTTATGAGATTAATTGATTCATATTTTATTTCCTTAAACTAGAGAATGGTATCTGAATGGCAACTACCTTGTAATATTTGTGAGCATTGGAATTATTCTCCCCCTTTCACTACTAAAAAATTTAGGTAAGCAATTACTTATTCAAATATATAGTTTATCTTTAGCTGATAGTAAATTGTACTATCATTTCATTTTTCAATTAACTGTACATTCATTTATTATTTTTAAAGGTTATCTTGGTTATACAAGTGGATTTTCGCTTACTTGTATGGTATTCTTTCTCAGTGTGGTAAGTGGGGGAAACGTGCACAATCTTTACACCGGCCTTCTCTAATTGATCTCCAGATGGTGTAGTTCCAGACATCTGGAGACCTACTTTGAATGTTCTGTTGTAAATTATTGGTGCATGCATTAAAATGGCAATAAGCAGTTGATGGGCCCATCAGTGGCTCCATCTTTTTTGTGAAATCTTCTCCATTTGTCACTAGATAAATTAGAGCTATTACAACATGAACCATGGCAGTATAAATAGAGACTAAGTAGTGGTGTAAGCTGTATTACACTGATTAAACATTTTCCAATTCCACGTTTAGCAAAACTATCTATGAGGAATTTGCACTTGTGCAGTTCTTTTTCTTTTGCAAAATTAAGGGTGGGAAATCGTTTCAGAAGTAAACCTTTTCATTACCATTCTTAATCTCTCAAACACAAAACATGATCCAAAATCATACTGAAATATGGCTATTTGGTACTGAAATCAACAGTGTGACATGGGGCTACTTTTGGGGCTGAGGCTACATTAAAGATATAATAATAATAATAATAATAATAATAATAATAATAATAATAATAATAATAATAATAATAATGCATTCCCTCTAACATGGTTAGAAAATAGAATAGAATAACAGAGTTGGAAGGGACCTTAGAGGTCATCTAGTCCAACCCCCTGCTCAGGCAGAAAACCCTATACCAGTTCAGACAAATGGCTGTCCAGTCTCTTCTTAAAAACTTTCAGTGTTGGAGCATTCACAGCTTCTGGAGGCAGGTTGTTCCACTGATTAATTGTTCTAACTGTCAGGAAGTTTCTCCTTAGTTCTAGGTTGCTTCTCTCTTTGGTTAGTTTCCATCTGTTGCTTCTTGTCTTGCCTTCAGGTGCTTTGAAGTATAGCTTGACTCCCTCTTCTTTGTGGCAACCCTCGAGATATTGGAACACTGCTATCATGTCCCCCCTCGTCCTTCTCTTCATTAAACTAGACATACACAATTTCAGCAACCGTTCCTTATATGTTTTAGCCTCCAGTCCCCTAATCATCTTTGTTGCTCTTTTCTGCACTGTTTCTAGAGTCTCAACATCATTTTTACATCGTGATAACCAAAACTGGATGCAGTATTCTAAGTGTGGCCTTACCAAGGCATTGTAAAGTGGTATTAACACTTCATATCATCTTGATTTTATCCCTCTATTAATGCAGCCTAGCACTGTGTTGGCTTTTCTGGCAGCTGCAGCACACTGCTGGCTCATATTTAAGTGATTGTCCACTAGGATTCTGAGATCCCTCTCACAGTTACTACTAGAGCAAGGTACTACCTATACTATACCTGTGCATTTGGTTTTTCTTGCCTAAATGTAGAATCTTACTTTTTTCACAATTGAATTTCATTTTGTTAGATAGCGCCCAATGTTCAAGTCTATGTAAGATCCTTCTGTATCTTAAGCCTATGTTCTGGAGTGTTAGCTATTCCTGCCAGCTTGGTGTCGTCTGCAAATTTGATAAGTTCCCCATCTATCCTCTCATCCAAATCATTGATGAAGATGTTGAAAATCAGTGGGCCCAGAAAAGAGCCCTAGGGCACCCCACTACACACTTCCCACTATGTACATGCAGTTCCATTGAGGACCACATGCTGAGTACGGCCGGTCAGCCAGCTAACGGATCCATCTGGTGGTGATGCTGTCTAAACAACATTTTTCTATCTTATCAAATAGTGGGTTGGGGTCTACTTTATCAAATGCCTTACTGAAGTCCAAGTAAATTATATCCACAGCATTCCTCTGGTCCTCTAATTTTGTCACCTGGGCAAAAAATGTAATTATGATTTATTTTTGACAAACCCATGTTGGCTTTTGGTAATGACTTTGTTTGCCTCTAGGTTTCACTGATTTGTTGCTTGATTATCTTTTCCAGAATCTTCCCAGGTATTGAGGTCAGGCTGATAGGTCTGTAGTTTCCTGGATTCATTTTCCCCCTTTTTTGAAGATGGGAACTACATCAGCTCTTTGCAGTCCTCTGCTCCAGGATCTTGGAAAGATATTTAAGATATGAAAGATATTGAAGATATTGAAAGATAGTAATTGAAGCATTGATTTTTCCCAATCCAATTTATACTCTTTCTGTCCCCAAATATTAAAGCACCCCAGATTTAGCCCTGTCTCCTCCTCTAATGCCAAAATGATCTCTTATAATCTTCTGAGAATATTGGGAGGTCAAGATATGATCCTTATATCTCAATTACCATCTAACTATGGAATATTATGTAGCAGCAGTACTATTAATATCTTGAGAAGTAACAGAGCACGATAACTCAATCTTGATTAGGTTGCAAATTTTAACATGTTATACATATTTCTGTTTTTATCAACAATAAACCAAATAAGTCCAGGGAAATCTATGTAGGATTTAGAATTTTGTATAGGATTTAAATTTCTGTATAGAAACCTGCAAAGAATTATTTTCCTCTTAGTTACTAACAGGGCTTTTTTTCTCGGAGAAAAGGTGGCGGAACTCAAACCTGGCCACGCCCTCATCAAACCCTAGGACCGCCCCTTTAGAGAACAGGAATGCAAGTAAAATTTGGGAGGGGCTATTTCCGGTGTGGGAGGGGCTATTTCCGGTGCGGCCGGGCCGGAAAAAGGTGCCGGAACGCGGTTCCGCCGCGTTCCGGCTGAAAAAAAGCCCTGGTTACTAATATCCTGGCTGATTTTTATTTATTGCATTATTTCTCAAAATTGAAGTATCTCTGCAATTGTAAATTTTTAAATAAACATTAAAAATATAAACTTTAAAAATAGAGATCATTTCTGGTAAATATCCAATGGCTACATTCTTTAAAACATGTTCACTGTATATTAATGGGATGATATCTAGCCACATAATAGTCCAAATCAAATTCTGGCACCACGTTATATGCAAATGTACTTGTTATGTTTTACTTTTCTGGCACTGCAATGTTGAAATGTAACTTCTGTGAAAATGGTAGTTGCAATGCTTTATAATGAGATCCAGTGCTTTCTTTGATGAATTAATACTTGTATTTTCTTATAATAATTTAGGTAATCTACAAGAAATCCCAAATACCCTGTCCTCTCCCAGTCTTGGATAATAAAGTTGGCAACTGGTCCTACAATGATACTGCAGTTCTGCTACATGTAGTGGTGTTACCAAATGATTCTGCTAATTTGGAATTAAACTTGATGATGGACAGCACTAACAAACAATATGCTTCAGGTTTTGAAGAAATCAAAGCTAAACTACATCAAAATGGAGTAGAATATGAAGCCCATGGAGAAGACAGTGACAAATGCCAAGCCAAATATTTTGTGTTTAACTCACGGGTAAAGGGCTGTTATCATTTATTTGAAAGAAAATAACCTTTATAAATGTTGACCTTCTCCATTAAAGAGTGCATTCTGGAAGTTTTAAATATGTAAACTATACTGGTCACTGCTGCAACCTGAATAGTGGCCATACCTTGCTGCATCATGGTTAGACGTATATAGAAGCAATAGTCCCATAATCAATCTTGTCCTCCTCCTACTTTGTAAATTTATACATAAGAAATGTATAAATACCTTTGAGTCACTTGCTTCCAAAATAGATCACTGCCTAGCACATTCTTGGTCTAACTTTCTTCATCTGGGATTCTCCTTTGGTCAGAGGTTTAATAGTACCAATAACAAACCCTTACAACAGACATGTCAAACTCACGACATCACATGACGTCGCACAACGTATCGGGATGGTTTTGCCATTGCCGGCAATGGGGTGGGTGTGGCTTCCGGATGACGCGTCCGGCCTGCGTGTTGGCAGTTTGACACCCCTGCCTTACAATGTTCAGGAAATTGAATTCAGGTTGCCTAGGAAGAAACAAGTCCAGTATAAACCAGAGCTGAAATCCTTATTTGTTTGTTTTTTTCAGACTGCTTATACAATACCAATTCTGGCATTTGCATTTGTATGTCATCCGGAAGTATTACCTATATACAGTGAACTTAAAAAGTAAGACTACTCACAGATTTCCTCTGACTTTTTTATTTCATAAAGACTGAAATTTTTCTAGAGCAAAACATTACTATTTATTATTTCTGTTTCACTTTTCTTTGGTTTATTGTTAATTTCTCTTTTTATGTTTCCATTTCACATTGGGACATCTGAGAATGCAATATACATTTAAAAATGGACAGAGAATTAGTTCTGTGGTCACAGCTATCATTTTGACTTTTTTTGACCCTCCCAAGGAGACTCCTATTCACATTCTTAATGCAGTACCCACTGTATTTTAGGTTTTGCTCAATATGTTTTGTACTGTAATGGTAACTTACTGTTTAATTAGTGTATAGGCAGTCCGTGGGTTAAGATCAAACTTACAGACAATTCATATTGATGAACAGGCTGCATATTACTAAAAATGGCAGACAGCCTTCTTCTTCCTCACGTTGACAAACCACTGAAGCTGTGCAATGTTTTTATGAACTGCTGAAGCTGAACATTTATATATATATATATCCTGTTTTCAGTGGTTCATGAAAATATTGCATTTATTCTTAACCCAGGATTGCCTTTATAACATCAGGGGAAGATAAGCTTTCTTTGGGACATTGGTAACACTTCTATTTTTGGATGTATTCAAAGCTAGTCTGACCATGAAGCAACAGATCTTGAATGACAATAACATAATCACACCCTCAAACATTTCAGCCGAATTTGTCAGTTATTTCTTCCTACTGTAGGCCAAACTTACATTTATCTCATTTTTCAACTGGGCTTTCTAAGTAAAACTATTTTCTCAGTTGTGGCATAGGATATTACCCCTTTGCCAACAATGAAGTAAGAGTTAACTGATAATCCTTATGCTTTCTGTATATAGAATGACTTGAAGGAATTGCACCATTCTTAATCTCAACAGCAAAATAAATTTCAATTATTATTATACTATTACAGTATTAATATTTCTATTCATCCATTAACCAGAGTTCTCTTGAGCCAGCTCCTTAAAAAGGATATGTATAATCTCCAGATGTTTATTTTTAAATAAAGTGAATAAATGAAGTGATATAGAGTAAATGACTCAGGAAGAGAAAAAAACAGGATGATGTAGGGAAATTTAAAGTTGTGAAATCTTAAGAATTCATTCCCAATTCACATTATACTTCCTAAAGTTCCTTTAGGCATGATATAAATCTGGTATAGGGTTGATAAGCAAATGAAGCCACTTACTGTACTCAACACATGAGAGCTGAAAGAGGGGTCCTTGGTATTCTCTGAGTTTGATTGTTTTCTTGCAGAAGTTTCATTACGCAAACTCAGTAACAGCAGTGCTAGTCCTAAGTGTAGCATTGATGATGTTACCTAGTTTGGGTAATGAAATGTCTGCAGAAAAACAACCAAGCTCAGAGAGCACCAAGGACTCCTCATTTCAACCCTGAGCTTCAAATATTCTCCTTTATTAGAACTGAAAGAGCCACAAGGTAATCATCAGTCTCTCTCTCTCTCTCCCTCTCCCTCTTGGTCTTTCTCTTACACACATACAAAGCTACATGAATAAATAAATCTACTAGTAATTAACTGTCCATTGGTGTATTCTTCTCAGCCGATCTCAAAAACGGATGCAAAATGTTTCCAATGTCTCCATCATGGGAATGCTCATCATGTACCTCCTCGCTGCCCTTTTTGGCTATCTTACTTTCTATGGTGAGTTTAAGCTGATTCGAAATGCTCGACATATCTGTTCAGGTTTCATATTATTTAGAATCTGTTTCCTTGTAATACAGTAGCTATTTCCCTTCACTGGGTTGATTTTTTTTTTAAATCAGCTTTAGTTTGCTATTTATAAAAATAATTGTGCAGAGTAAGGAATGTTATTTTACCTGAGCATTTTAAGATATCAAATGCATATGCTAAGATCAAGGTCTATTATTGTTTGATTGTCTTCTACCAGAGTTAAGCACTGGAGATGATTCCCTAAACCAAGGACAGATAACTGAATTCTGCCCAACTGCCCTAATGATGACCATATTGCAAATTAGTCTCCATGTAGGGATTTTTGCTGTTTGCTAACTTCAAACTGTTCAATGTGAAGGTGCACCAAGTAATGATGAAGTTGCTTGAGAAAACTAATAGAGAATGTTCTTTTTTTATCAGGTGAAGTAGAAGATGAGTTGCTTCATACATATAGGAAAGTTTACACCTTTGACACTCTGCTCTTGATGGTTCGCCTTGCAGTTCTTGTGGCTGTGACTCTCACTGTACCAATAGTTCTATTCCCAGTAAGTCATTTTAAGCAAACTTTAAGCAGCCCATCCATGACTGTGCTCTTTTCCTCCACTTTTGTAATTCACTTCAAGAAATTCAAATATAAAACAGGTCTATTTTTTAACAATGTGACATGACATTAAAAATAATACAGAATATTACAGACAAAAATCTAGAAAGGTAAATTTAAGCAATTAAGGGGGGCATTTTAGAGTTAAAAAAATTACTTTAGGAATTGTATTAATGATCTTGATCTATTAAAGAAAATGCTCCAGAACTCAGAATTCAGAGTTCCAGTTTAATGGGATAGCCAGCTATGGCCTCTTCCAAGATACTCCATTCTGAAAAAGACATAAAGAACATATACTAAGCATTACGTAACCATAAGCACATTAACTTCTCTTACATGGGCAAATTCTTCCACTGTTGTGTTTTCCCCCTAAAATCTGTTTAGGGAAACATATTTTGTTATTATCTAAGGGTGCTACTATTTTGACTAAACTAAGATAAGCTTTCAGTCTTAAATACTGTTTGTAGAAAAAATGCTTACGGAAAAAATTATAATCTAAAGGAGCAGTCTCCAGGTTAGTAAAATCAGTGAGAAAATAGCTACTGACTTCTTTTTTTTTTTACAAACTTCATGCTGATGCTATTTTTTGATGCTTGGCATCTGTACTTAAGACTCCCCCCCCCCCTTTTAACAAGTCAAGCGACTTCACCGTAATGTTGACCACTGGAGCTGCTATTAACCTTTTACCTAGTAATTATCCCCACATCTACATAGCAGCTATAGAAATGCTGTTAAGGCTTGAGATATTTGCTGAACAGACCAAACAGAATCATATATCCACATTTATTTTTCCAGAGGTCTCTTGTAGATGAAATGATAGAGTGAAATTATATTTAATAGACATATAAAAGAAGCAAAGGTCCTTGCTTTATTAAAACCTACAAGAAATCCTATAAAATTGATTTCTGCAATTATAAAGTGAATATACTGAAATGTTTGCTTATGAATAAGAGATATCCTTTATGGATTTCACTGGTAACCATGCTGACATCCTTTTCCAAGTCAGGTTTCAATATATTTTTAATAAGAACATATTTTTGATATCTTCATATGATAACATTAGATATTCTGCATCAAGGTATGTTTTTTTATTTATAAAGCATGAGATAAAAAGGGCAAGTTTACAAAGATGAAAAGGGGCAAAGGTAAAACATTTCTTGCTACAAAATGTTTAAAGGGTATAATAAAACTAAAATATGCTGATTTATGTTTTTTTTATAGATTCGTACATCTCTTACCACACTCTTGTTCCCCAGAAGACCTTTCAGTTGGATAAGACACTTCCTCATTGCTATTGTTATTCTTATATTTAATAACCTTTTAGTCATCTTTGTCCCTACTATTAAAGACATCTTTGGATTCATAGGTATGAATGCTTTCTCTTGCTCTCATTGTTTTAAATAAAGAATATTAACATAGCAACATGTTCATTTTTGCCAAATCTCCTTTCTCTAACCTGGTATTTGGATGATCTAGAATTCCCTGCCAAATTATTGTGGAATCTGAGAAGTTGTTTTTCAATAGAAGAGAATACTTGTAGCTTGGGACTGAACTGTGGGATCCTTGGTGCACTCAGAGCTTGGTTGTTTTCTTGCAGATGTTTCATTACCAAACTAGGTAATATCATCAGTGTGGAACCACCAAGCTCAGAAAGCTGTTTTTTATACAGAAAGGTAGAGGAGATTCCATCGTTCCATCCTGCTATACTTGTGAGATGAGAGTCAACAACTTTAAAATGGCAGCCACATTATTTGACCAAAGCCCCACCCATTTGTTCATGCATCACAGTGCAATAGTGCAACACCTAGAAAGGAACAGTTCTTCAATTGTACAGTCAAGGTAGTCATCTTCATTTTTTCCATTCATCCCTATGGTCACCCATGCTTCTGTTCCTTACAGCAATTAGAAGCCTTTCATATAATTATTATTGCATAGAGGAGGTGAAACATCCCCCTCTTGTTCAGATGTCAATTCAGAGAAGACCTCCCACAAAATTTCACATAAGATTGGGTCAATCTTTTTCTAGTATCATATGTGATAAGCTTTTTTAAAAATAGATGAAGCATCTTCTTTCTCTCCTCTTCCAGCTATTCTCATTTCCTATGTAAAAATGAGATCTCAGTAAGTACTATCTGTGTTAAATATGCCCTGATGTCTAGATCTTCTAGAATCTAGATCCGTGGTGGCGAACCTATGGCATGCGTGCCACAAGTGGCAGCAGAGCCCTCTCTGTGGGCACACGTGCCATCGCCCCAGTCCTAGGCCTTAAGCTGGGTTTTATAAAACCTTTTCGCTTTACGTCTCTGCTGCCGTGTGCAAAAAAAAAAGGTTCAATCAAGCAATCAATTTCAACTTCTCGCGGGAAAAAAAAGATCTCGCAAAGTTGGAATTGATTGATTGAACTTTTAGTCCCACCCAGTCTGCCATTACCACCATAGCCACACCCACCCAATGGGCCACACCCACCCAATGGGCCACACCTACCTGGCACCCAATGATACATAAGTGGGTTTTGGGTTGCAGTTTCGGCACTCAGTCTCTAAAAGGTTTGCCATCACTGATCTAGATTTTTAGATTCTAAGATGAAGCCTTTTAATTATTTCCACAATTGATCAGGTTTTTGGATAGTAATGGAATAATATGGGGGGGGGGAATGAGTAGACCTAATGTGCTCTAGATCAGACATGTCAAACTCGCGACGTCACATGACGTCGCACAATGTATCAGGACAGTTTTGCCATTGCCGGCAATGGGATGGGCGCAGCTTCCACATGATGCGTCTGGCCCATGGGCTGGCAGTTTGACACCCCTGCTCTAGATTATAAAACCAAAAGACTGCCTCTTTAAAATATATTATCAGTTCCTTTCTTCTTTTCTAGCACATCATTTCTAAAGTTTAAAAGTGTTCATTCTTGTATTTTAATTCATCATTGCATTTTGGCTTTGGTATTTATAGGCATTGTTATTTTTCTGTCACTACAATCTGCTTTGGGAAATAATTGTTAAAAAGCAGATTACAATTTTGAACAAATAGCAATTCACAAGAAAACATGTAAATCTGGAATTTTCTCCATTGTAGAAATATTTCTAATAGAAAAATAGACCTATAGATACATTCATAGAAATGTCAGGTATTTTTAACTTCAGGCAATATAATTTACTGAATACCTGATAATGTAATATTAAAAATGCATGTTCAGAAAACACTAATTTTAGCTTGGTTCAATCAGATTGGAGCAACAACTATAACATTGAAAATTCAAATTTAGTATTAGGCCTCCTTTGCTATAGGGGAGCAGTTATTTCTTACCCAGAATTTGAGAAGAAATGTTCAAAGGTTCTAATTTAAGTGAAATGGAGGAAGGTTGAATGCAAGTGTTTGTTACAGAACTGGAATGTTAGTACCTCCAAAATTGGAGTATTCCTCTTGTCAGGCTTCACCCCAGAGGTTGGCAAGCAATAAATCTCACCTCTCCAAACAATGAACTATCTAGTTGAGAATAGGCTTTCTTGGTAGTAAACATTCAGATAGATCAGATAAAATAGACTTTTATTACAGATAAGAATTAAGACACATGCACACAATAATTTATCTTCTGATATGCAAATAAGACAAAATCTTTAAATACTACCAAGCTTCACAGCAGTGTTTCTCAATCTCAACAACTTTAAGATGTGTGGATTTTACTCCCAGAATTCCCCAGCCAGCACTAAAGTTGCTGAGATTGAAAAACACTGCTGCAAACTTTAAAGTCTTGGATTTTTGAATCAATGGAGAATTGATGGCTTGCTTGGTAGTGCTGGATGACAGATATGCTTATATAGTAGCCAACTTTAACTTATGAGTGCTGGTTGCCACCTAACTAGATTCAGCCCTTACCTTTGCAGAGAGAGAATAACATTGGCATAACTTCTATGAAAGTGTATATATTGCAATGTTACTTTGGGGAGAAATTAACATTAATAATATTTTTTAAAATTCCCTTAGCTCGCTTTCATTTCCCAAACAGTAAGACTATGTTTCTTATTTTAGGTGCCTCTGCTGCAACAATGCTGATTTTTATTTTGCCTGCTGCATTTTACCTTCGAATTGTCAAGAAAGAGCCTTTGAGGTCACCTCAAAAGATTGGAGTGAGTCATCCAGATTTTTTCAATTATTGAGCTATGTTTTAGCTCTTCCTATTAATTAATCATTTTTGCTATACTTACAGGTCCTAATTTTCCTCATTGTTGGCATAATCTTTATGTTTGGGAGCATGATACTAATTCTCTTGGATTGGATTTACAACTCTTCACATTCCAATCAGCATTAATTTGGAAGGAAATTGCAAATGTTTGTTTTTCTTTGCCACCGAAGTGGTTGAATTTCATTAGCCATATGCAAGCAAGCAAACAAAAGACTTTTGACTATAGAGAAGACATTACTTCTAGTCAATAACGGCAAGATTCCAAAGACTTTGTTAATACCACTAGATGGACCTAAGGTGGAATAAATCCCCCTTCGATAAGGGATGGTTATTTATTCATTATCACCTGTGTCCATTATTTTTGGACCAGGACAGAATAAAAATGTGATTTGTGAAGATGCTTGGATCTAATTATGTATATAGTACCCACAAAGACTGTTACTTTAGTTTTGATAACTACTGTTTCTGGAAACTAGAAAGCAATGTAGCCATTTGAAAACTATACTGATATTTTTAACAAGCTTGTGAGTTGATTCTATATTGTATCCAATCCTGAGAAAAAGAGGTTGGAATATTTATAAGTTATCCAGAAATGGAGATTATCTGATTGCCAAATTAAAAAAAATCGTGTTTAAATGTACAGTACATATAATGTATATACATAAAGGAATATGAAACTATTATTTGAAATGACTAACTATAACATTAATAATTACACTCAAAACAGGATATAAAAACAGCATCAATTTCTGAAAGTATTTCACTTACACATCAATAAATTCTGTTAATTATAGTAGTGCCCTCTACGGAAAGCGAGCAAATGTGATAAATTCTTTATTACACTAACTTTTCATAAAATTATTTATTACAAAAATTGTTGATGAGGGCTCAAAAAGGCCCCTTTTCTCTGCAGCTGTGGGTTATAGAAAGTATTCAGGCCAATGGATAGTTATAAATGACACCAGAATTCTCCAATTTATGGAACTGTACTTAAAAGATAAATTAAATCTTAGCCAGCCAGAGCTATTTCTACTTTTACTGCTACCAAAGTATACTTTTTATTACTTGTATTATGTTGTCAAAAATTAACACTCTCTGTCCCACCAATAAATGTAAAAGTTCTTATAGTGAGAGTTTCTCTGCTTCTGGTGGCTAATAGATTAATCTTCAATATGATGTCAATAATTACATAATAAGGATGTCTAATCTTGACAACTGGAATGGGCTCGGATGCAGAGAGAGGCTGGTTCTAGTGGGATTCCTATGACAAATATATATAACATGTATCAAACTGATCCTGCACGTGTAATTTGTTTTGATTTTAATTATTTAACAAACTGGAACTTGGTTTGTAATTTGTCTTCCACAGTAGTTCAAATAGATTTAACAAAATCACATAGAATTTGAAAGCACACCAGCTAATATTGTTGTTCAATGCAGTTGTATTTGATAATATAGACAGTACAGCACATTGTAAGCATTGATATATTTGTTCTATATAAATATGTATGTACATAATATTATTCTTTATCAAAGTTCCTATATGGTTTAATGCTTTGATTTTTATATATAAGTTTGGGTATTATTACTTTAATATTCCCAAGTGTAATATACTTAGATGCAGCAATATTTCAATGAGTTCTAAAAGCTTCATTTCTCAATACATTGTTAGAAATTTCTGAAAAGGCCAGAATAATACCTAAATAAAATGGAACCCAAATGGAAATGAAATAAAATGAAAAATCAAATGTTACTAAAATAAATGATAATAAAATTAAAGGATGCAAGATTGATATTTATTGATCTGTTGTACAAAGTGCCATATTATTCCAAACTACATAAACTATATCTGCAATTCGGTTTCAGGGTTCACATTTATTTTCCACACCTATTGTGCTGCTGATTGTGACTTCAGTCAAGAGTGACATATTTTCTAAATACTCTGATGTGAAAAACAGAAACATTTACAGTATTAATCCTGTTAGATATTTTATACAGATAAATAAATTACTGAGATTTTTTTACTGTTGTACTGTCTTTTTGAAGACAAAACCGATCTCTTGCAAAGGTTTGTTATATTTCAAAGTACAGGATCTCCTAAATTCAATTTCCTTTATTTATTTATTTATTTATTTATTTGAAAAGGTATTTATTTATTTAGGTATTTATTTATTTATTTGAATTTAGAGGATCATGTGCTTTGAAATAAAGGAAATTGAATGGTATGTTAAATGTGGTTGGTAGGCATTCAGCAAGCTAAGCATAATTTTCGAGAACAACCTCCCCCTATACCTGAAGAGAAAAGTTTTCGATCAGTGTGTGCTACCTGCTCTAACATATATGTTGGAGAAACATAGACACTAACCTCACAATCAATACAAAAGCTACGAGTGATGCAAAGAGTCATGGAAAGATAAATGCTCAGCATTACAAGACAAGATAGAAAGATCTGCACGTGGATTAGAGAACAAACTAAAGTATACGATATCATCAGGAGAGTAAAAGAATTGAAAAGGAAATGGGCTGGTCACATAGCAAGAAGAACTGAAGTCAGGTAGATCAAGGCAGTCATAGAATGGATCTCACTTGATAAAAAGTGTCACCCAAAGAGACTTAAAACAAGATGGATTGACGACATCAGCAAGTATTGTGGGCCCAATTGGCAAAAGAAAACTCAGGACTGTATTGGTTGGAAACATGCAGAAGAGGCCTTAATCCTGCAGTAAATAGACAATGGCTAAAATGAGGATGAGGATGAGGATCCCCTAAATTAAAATTCTACTGAATTTTGCTTTCCAGAAATTTAAGTATGTTCGTACCTCCTCCACTGAAAGCAATGCTGTATAAAATACATAATTATGGTTTATTTTTTAAATCTTATTAGGACTAGTTTAAAAGAAGATACAATGTTGTATTTTCTAATATTCTGAAACCAATATCTTTAAATATGTGTATTGAATAACATTTGCACCACTGAGAAATTCAGAAATGAACAGTTCACTAATTTCTGGTACAGCTAGAATTTTATTGCAAGGTATACAACTGTATAAAATTTTTCTCCATATATTTTATTTAAGAATCAAGACTCCAAAAGAGCCATTTCACAACATGTAATAGGGCATATTAGCATTTTTCCAACATTATTAAAATGAAAGATGCAAATTGTACTGAATAATGATGACGATAATGATGATTATGATGTTTCATCAAAGGAGCAGCCACCAGTCCCAATCTTTATTGGCTTCATGGGATGAGAATTTGTAGAAGAGTTTATGGATTTAATTTCTTCAGTATGACTTCTCCTCTTTAACTCCAATTGTGACCAAACCAATCAAGAGAAAATGGAGCATGGGATATAAATTGCTTCCCAAATCTAATTTATTTCACTGATGTTGACCATTCAAGACATAAATGGTGTATGGTTGATCTGGATCATCACCTCTGCCACAAAAAGCCTGCCAGTTATTAAATTAGCAGGAGGGGCCCTTCTGAAGAGGATCTAGTCACCAACTCTTGAGTACTCAAGAGACTGATTCCCAGGGCATGGAATGTGCTTCTCAGGAGATATCTCCACTGTTTAGGAATATGGAAAACATCTCTTTTAATGACTAAATATTTTTTATTTAGTTTAATTTTGAGTTTAATTTTGGTTTATACTTCATATTTTTTATTATTGTAAGCTGCTTTGGAAGGTAGACTATAAATTCAACAACAGATAAGTGAATAAAACCAAGATGTTCTGAATTAGGAATCATTTCTGAAATTGAATAAGGCCAAAATAATGACTTCCCTTCTCAAGCAAACAAGCTTCTTTCAAAGGTAATTTTGGAGAATAATGCTTAGCACTATTTCAGCCATTCACCAGTTATTTAGGTTGCAAACAAAATATGGCATTGTATGTATGATTGAACTAAGTGACTAAAATGTGAACAACTGCTATGAAGAGGGATGCATACAGAAGCTGCTTTATGACTTTGTGGACTGGATAGACATTTTTGCTTTTGTGGCCTTTTTACTCCATTACATTAAAAATTATATTTCATTATTTTCAATATTTTCTTTGTATTTTTACAGATTAATAGAAAACAATTAATAATTTTTAAAGGCATTTACTATAGTAAATACTAGTAAATAAGGCATTATTTACTAGCAAATACTAGTATATAAGGCATTTTGTAATATTCAGTTGTGTCAATATTACAATATGTTGCATATCATAAAGGTAATAGATTTTAGTATTTATGCTAAAGTTACAGATTAGATCTTTGGTTTGGTATTCAAGGTTTCTGCTTTTCTTGCCTATTTTTTTTTATTAAAAGCATAATTTATTATGTTGGTCTATGACTATAATAAAGGTTTGATTTGATTAATTTTTATTTTTCTGATTAAAAAAAGTTTAAATGTTTTCAGTCAGTCCTACATACATAATTCAAAGCTATGGGACAGGAAACATATTTTTCAGCTCTCCATGAAAATCATATGTTCAGAAGAAAGAATATATCTGTTTGCCTATAATTCTTCCTTTCTGTATCATACACTTCTGCAAACTTACCACACCATAATTTCCCATAATTAAAAGCAGTTGCTATAGCAAAGGAGTGTGATTTTCCTAATTAGCTCTGCCATCTGATGTTACATATTGCACATATCTCTTCTTCAAGGAATATTTGCTTATAAAAGGTAGCATCCTTCTGGGTAAATAGAGAATGAGTGATCGTGCCGACGGAGTGGATTGACGATATATTTCCTGGACTTAACACCTAGAAATCTGCCAGGTTGAATCGCCTGGAAGAACTGTGGGGTGGGGGCTGCTTGGGAACACTTTAAAACATTGAATGGTGGGGGGATCCCTCAAATCCTGTCTAGCATGCCTGCAGTCAATTTCTCTTAATAAAAATTCCTGTTGGAAGAGACGTTCCAAGAGTTCTGTTTTCTTAAGATGTAAATTGAGGTGGGTCCTTACATTAGACAGGATCTGCAAAATTAGTCAACCTGGAAGGGAGAACCTTGCCAGGGGACTTTGCAAAAAATACCATATGAGACGACGAAGCAGGGAAGGGAGAAAGCCCCCCGGAGAGGGAGCCATTGCCGCGACTGAAAACCGGCCAGATGTTGGGATCTGAAAGGTCAGATCCCTCAGGAGAAGAGGTGGTGGAGACGCGTAATCACAAACCTCGGTGGTCAATGGGCATTGGAAAGAAAGGTGAGTGGGGTTTTTCCTAACCCACATCCTCAGCTACATGGAGGAACACGGGCGGCACATCCCTAGCGACAATCGTGCAATCTGCTCTGGACTGGCTGGACAGAGATTGGGTAGGGAATTTGCATGACTCCAATGCCCCAGAGCTCAATGACTTCAACTGTTTCATGTCCTCTCTGAGAAGGCTATTTGAGGACCCCCCTGGCTGATTGCAAAGTCTGCGAAAGGATCAAAACGATGAGGCAAGGCAGACGCCTGGTAGCTGAATATACGCAAGAATTCCAGGCTATTGCCAGCAAGCTGAACTGGCCAGAAGACATGCTCCTTAGCCATTTCAAAGACAGCCTAAATTACAACCTATATGATGCTTGCCTGCCCCGGGGGGACCCACACCAACTCGATGAATGGTACATCCTGGAAGAGGAAGCAGAGATCAACCTACTGAAGAGGCACCGTCGAGGAAAACAATGGAGCCGCTAACTGCCTGAGCGGACGCGCAAACCAGAGAAGCCAATGGCTATGGCCAAGAAGCCAATGGGCTGTTTCAAATGTGGGAGAGAGGGGCATTGGGCTGTAGAATGCCACTCGAAAGCCCCCCAGCACAACCCAGACAGATCACCGGCCAGTAAATCCGGGAAGTCCACAGCTAAATCAAAAGAATCTGCCATGAGAGTGATAGAGGCTGTGGAGTCCCCTACCTCTGCCCATCATGGGGAAAGAACTCCAGCCTACACCGCAGGGCCGGTGGATGCCTCAGATGACAGGTCGGAGGGCGAAGCCATGGTAAGTGGACCCATCACACCCATCCTCAAGACAGTGACTATATTAATTCCTTCCATACCCGAAGCTGTCAAGGTGAAAGCCTTAATAGACTCTGACTGCACCCGCTGCCTCATTAGCCCGATGCTAGTGGGGAATCAGGGCATTCCGTCGAGGAGACTAGAACAATCAATCTCATTTGGCCAGTTAGATGGGTCCATAGCAGGGGAGTGCCAGCTACCCTAGCCACTTTACCAATCCACCTGTCCCAGGGCAACCATGAGGAAGACATAACGTTTGTAGTGAGCCCAGGCATGGAATGCCCGATGATCCTAGGGATGGAATGGTTAAAGAAATGGAACCCCTGGGTAAATTGGAAGATGGCAGAAATCAATTTCCTGAAAGAGGACCCTATGGACTTAAAACCCCAAGGAGATCTACCAAAATTAAGAACAGAAAAAGCGTCCATGGGAGATGAAAAGGGGCTACCAGAAATACCAAAGGAATACAGAGATCTTGCTGAAGTTTTCAGTGAGGAGAGGGCGGATGAGCTTCCCCCCCACCGACCCACGGATTGTGCCATAGAATTCAAGTCTGGGGCAAAACTCCCGAAGCCCAGATTATACTCCATGAGCCCAAAGGAGAAGGAGGAAATGAAAAGATTCATAAAGAAAAACCTAGAAAGGGGGTTCATTGAACCAGCCAAGCCTAAAGTGGGCACTCCGGTCCTCTTTAGAGAGAAGGACGGCTCTTTACGCTTATGTGTGGATTATAGGCTCCTGAATACAATCAGTGAAAGCAACCTATACCCCCTACCCCTCATGAAGGACATGTTATCACACCTCTCGAAAGGAATTTTTTTTTACTAAACTAGATCTAAGGGAAGCGTATTACCACATGAGAATTAAGGAAGGGGATGAATGGAAAACCGCATTTAACTGCCCAATGGGGTGCTACCAATTCAAAGTTTTGCCGTTTAGATTACAAGGCCCCCCCGCAATATTTATGCAATTAATCAACGAGGTACTAAGGGAGCACCTAT